AATTAAGTTTTTAACCCAAGGTACCACTGTACAATAGGGACGCGGGTGGCGCTGTGGGTAAAAGCCTCAGCGCCTAGGGCTTGCTGATCGAAAGGTCGGCGGTTCGAATCCCCGCGGCGGGGTGCGCTCCCGTTGTTCGGTCCCAGCGCCTGCCAACCTAGCAGTTCGAAAGCACCCCCGGGCGCAAGTAGATAAATAGGGACCGCTTACTAGCGGGAAGGTAAACGGCGTTTCCGTGTGCTGCGCTGGCTCGCCAGATGCAGCTTTGTCACGCTGGCCACGTGACCTGGAAGTGTCTCCGGACAGCGCTGGCCCCCGGCCTCTTGAGTGAGATGGGTGCACAACCCTAGAGTCTGTCAAGACTGGCCCGTACGGGCAGGGGTACCTTTACCTTTACCACTGTACAATGGGACGCGGGTGGCACTGTGGGTTAAACTACAGAGCCTAGGACATGCCGATCAGAAGGTCAGCGGTTCGAATCCCCGGGACGGGGTGAGCTCCCGTTGCTCAGTCCCTGCTCCTGCCAACCTAGCAGTTTGAAAGCAAGTCAAAGTGCAAGTAGATAAATAGGTACTGCTCTGGCGGGAAAGTAAACGGCGTTTCCGTGCACTGCTCTGGTTCTCCAGAAGCGGCTTAGTCCTGCTGGCCACATGACCTGGAAGCTGTACGCCGGCTCCCTCGGCCAGTAAAGCGAGATGAGTGCCGCAACCCCAGTCGGCCATGACTGGACCTAATGGTCAGGGGTCCCGTTACCTTTACCACTGTACACTGCTCCCCAAACCATCAGTCAATGGGAGTGTGTCCATAGCCCACGTCCAGTCCTCATGCAGGTGAAGAAAGGGCTAATGCAATTGAATTTTGACAGCTGCCTAATCCCAAACCAGAATTAGGGGGGCCTAGGTTTGCACAGCTGAAGCCCATAGAGGGATCTGCTCTGGCCACATCTCAAAAAACCGATGTTGTAGGGTTGGAAAAGGTTCAGAAAAACACCCAAAATTGACTCCTGCTGTGAGGAAAAGCTGCAGCGTGTGGGGCTTTTTACTTTAGAGAAAAGGTGAGGAAAACAGGACACAATAGAAATTTTTTAAAATATGCATGGAATGGAGAAAGTGGGTTAAGAGGGGGGGGGACTCTTCGCTGTTCACTTTCTCTGCACCACACCAAATTTTAAAAAACTTTACTGTTTATAGAAGTTCTGCAAGTTTTTCTCCCTCTCCCATAATATTTGTAGACATCCCATTAAGCTCAATGTCTGATGATTCGGGACAGATTATATATACAGATTAATGAAGTGTGGAGTTAAAACTACAGAACTCCCTCCCACAGGAGACAAAAATGGCACACCAGCTTAAATGGCTTTAAATAAGGACTGGGCAAGTTAGAAGAGGAATCAGAGAAATGTCAAGTTGGAAGGGACCCTGAGGGTCATCCAGCCCAACCCCATGCAATGCAGGAATATGCAGCTGTCCCATGTGGGGATCGAACCTGCAACCTTGGCATTATCAGCACCACACTCTAACCAACTGAGCTATCCAGACCTATTGATGGCAGCCGGCCTTGCTGGCTCTGCTCTGCCTTTATGATCAGAGGCTTCTGAATCTCCGCTGCTGGAAGGAGGGCTCTTGCCCGTTGAAGAGGATGCTGGACGAGATGGCACCTTTTGGCCTGATCCAGGAGGCTCCTCTTAAATTTTTATTTTCATTAGTTTTTTGCATTAAACCCCCCCTTCTGTCATAATGTTTGATTGGTTTCATTTTACTTTCCAGTGTCCGTCATAAAATGTTTAAAAGCGGGACTGAGTTCCCTTACCTTTTTAAAAATTATAGAGATAGATAGATATAGATATAGATAGATGATAGATTAATTATTATTATTATTATTATTATTATTATTATTATTATTATTAATTTATTTATACCCCGCCCATCTGGCTGGGTTTCTCCAGCCACTCTGGGCGGCTCCCAACAGAATATTAAAATCCAGTAACCTATTAAACATTAAAAACTTCCCTAAACAGGGTTGCCTTCAGATGTCTTCTAAGTTGTTTATTTCCTTGACATCTGCTGGGAGGGCGTTCCACAGGGCGGGTGCCACTACCGAGAAGGCCCTCTGCCTGGTTCCCTGTAACCTCACTTCTTGCAGGGAGGGAACCGCCAGAAGGCCCTCGGAGCTGGACCTCAGTGTCGGGGCAGAACGATGGGGGTGGAGATGCTCCTTCAGGTATACTGGACCAAGGCCGTTTAGGGCTTTCAAGGTCAGTACCAACACTTTGACTTGTGCTCGGATCAGCAATCTTTTTCAGGCCATGTGGTGGGCTGGACTATATTGGGGGGGGGATGAACGAATTCCTATACCCCACAAATAACCCAGAGATGCATTTTAAAGAAAAGAACACATTCTACTCATGTAAAAAAACGCTGATTCCCGGACCGTCCTTGGGCTGGATTGAGAAGGTGATTGGGCCGGATTCGGCCCCCGGGCCTTAGGTTGCCTACCCCTGGGATAGATAGTCTGGGGGTTTGGGATGGATGCCCAATGCCTGAGCGCAAAACCCACCTATATCTGTGATCAATAAAGTTTCTAATCCAGATCTTTGTTGGCTTGAGTTTATTAATCACATCTTACATTTAGCCGCTGCCGGTGTGTTTGTGTGTGTGATACTGCGACTGGGCCCGCAGTGAACAAAGAAACTTCGTTTCCCCCCAGAAAAAAAGCACTGCTTTAAGAGGAAAGGGAGTACAGTGGTACCTCAAGTTAAGAACTTAATTTGTTCTGGAGTTCTGTTCTGAACCTGAAACTGTTCTTAAACTGAGGTACCACTTTGGCTAATGGGGCCTCTCACTGCCACCGCACGATTTCTGTTCTCATCCTGAAGCAAAGTTCTGAACCCGAGGTACTATTTCTGGGTTAGCAGAGTCTGTAACCTGAAGCGTCTGTAACCTGAAGCATCTGTAACCCAAGGTACCACTGTACTGAAAAAAAGGAGAGACGGGAATAAGCTCATCATCTCTCTTTCGAAGGACGCAGGGTACCAGATCAGCCCTTTCCTGGGCTGTTACATCTCCGCTACACTCCCTCCTACTCTCCTGGCCTCCTGCCAACCGGGCGCATGTAACCGGAGGCTCTGGGTTGCATCAGTTTCCCCTCCAGCGCTTGTAAACACAAAACTTTCTCTGGGGACTCTCTGGCTGCCTCTCGTTCTCCAAGGATGGGGGATTCAGCAACCAGAGAGACCTCTCTTATCAGAGAGAGAGAAAGAGAGAGAGAGAGAGAGAGAGAGAGAGGTTTGCCGTGCGAGGTGCACGATGGAAAGAGGAGCAAGCTCTCTAGTCTTGCACAGACACTGTTACAATCAGAGAATTATAGAATGGCGGCGTTGGGACCCCCAAGGGCCTTCTAGTCCAGCCCCCTGCAATGCAGCAATCTTTTGGCCAATGTGGGGCTTGAACCCACAGCTCTAAGATTAAGAGTCTCGTGCTCTACCAGGTGAGCTATCCATGTGTGTCAGTTTGGAGTTCCAGTATGAGGTTGTTAGAAGTCAAGCACGGGGGAAATGGGGCGATCTTTATTCTGGATTAATCCACCTGGGACACAGTTGTCCCTGTTTTATAAGATTGCAGGCCTTTCAAAGCATGAGCTCTGCAAATTCGGACCAGAATCAGCAGCTTGGGGGGGGGAGTAATACCAAAGGTCCAAGAAATACCTTTCACACACTGCATAGTTAAACGATGGAACTCACTGCCACTGGAAGCAGTGATGGCAGCCAACCTACAGATGGCATGAACGAGGATTAGAGAAATTCATGGAAGAGGAAGAGGTTGCCAATAGCTTTCAGCCACGATGCCCAGGCATCTCTTTGGCCTGATCCGGCACATTCCTGCTATAATCTTACTCTGGGGCAGAATCTCCTCCAGGGCTTCTGGTTTTCATTTCACATTTCTGGTGTCTTGAGGTGTGCGTCTCTGAGAACGCAGAGTGCTTGACTGCTTGAGGAAGACAACCATACATGTCTGTGTGTGACACTGCCTCATTGTCCTCCTTGCCAACTGTACCCAGACTTTTAAAGGGAGGCAGTTTGTCTACATTTGCCTGGTTTTTCTCCTGTTGGGTTTTCTTTGTAAGCTCCTCCAAGCGCAGAGAATTTTGTCAGTTTAAATGATTTTTAATGCCACTTTGGCTAAAAACCACAACAAGGCACCCTCCCCTCAGGCTTGCAAATGACAAGCTGAAAAGATAACAGCACAAAAGGAAAACAGATTGGGAGGGAGAAAGAAATAAGCAAGTTCAGAGCCAAGTTCTTAGCTACCTGTTATCAGTGTAACTCTGTAAACTGCACCCACCATACTCTGAAATCAATGGCACAGCTACCTTAATTCCAGTGGGTCCATTCTGAGTGGAGATGAGTTGGAAGGGACCACAGGGGCCATCTAGTCCAGCCCCTTGAAATGCAGGAGTCTTTTGCCCAACCCACGACCCTGAGATTAAGAGTCTCATGCTCTACTGACTGACTATCCCAGTGTTCCATTTACCTGTTTATTACATTAATTAAATTCGCATACCCACCCACGCCATCCAACCAAGTTTTCTGCGTGGTGTAGAATAAAATACAATTCATATTAAAAAACCAAAAGCCAAATACAACAAACGAGCTAAATCAGAAAACACAGAATACAACTCTTTAAACGCAGTGATTGCTGCCCTTTCTCTCTGCTTTACAAAGGGAACATCTTTAAGCGCATCGCGTGTCTGACTCGCGTGTGAAAGCGGCGTTTCAGAAGCGTGTCTGAAACCACGTGGTGGGCGGGGCCAGCAGGCGTTCTGAGGGCGGGGCGTGCGCGGAGGTGACTGTGTACCTTTCTGCCCACCCCGCCCCTCTCTCTCAGTCAGCCAATCGAGCCTGCATATGCAAACGACCCGGCCTAATCCGACCCAATCAGGAGCGAGAGGGGCGCGGCTATGCAAAAGAGGAGCCCAGATGCGGGAGGCGAGTGAGGCGCGGAGTGTTGCGGGCGAGCTTCGGGGAAGGACGTTGTGCAACAACAATCATCATATTTCAGTTTTTGCAATTCATGCAATGCTCTTTGCAAGAGGAGGACCCCACCGGGCAGCGGCGCCGGGGCAGAGGATCTGCTACTGAAGCGGAGAGCTCGGCTTTTCCCCCGGCAGAGGGATAGCAGGACCGCACACCTGAGCACAGGTGCGTCAGGTAAGCCTCAGGGGAGTCGAGGACTCCAAAGAATGAATGGGCTGGCGAAGCTTAGAGAGAGAGGTGTGTTGGTTGGGGTGGGGGACATCTGGAAGGCGCTCTGCACATGCTCAGAGGTCTCCACGCCTGCCATCCTTGCAGGAGACGGGTCCTCCTGATGTCCTGCCCTTGTATCTCGGTATTGTCCACACTCGCTGGAAGTGACTCTCTGGAGTTTCAGAATGGGAGTTCAACTTGGGGTCGAACCTGGGATTCCTGCATTGCAGGGGGTTGGACTAGATGACCCTTGGAGTCCCTTCCAACTCTATAATTCTGTAATTCTGTGATTGCATATATATAAGATCATCATCATCATTATTTATAAAGTGCTGTGGAGAGATTCAAATCTTTGCACCGTTTCTGCGGAAAGCCTTGTCCTCTTGATAGTTGTGGCACTAAAGGAAAACGGAATGGGGAGGGGAAAGGAAAGCAAGTGAGAGCAGGTGCAAATCGAAAGACGAAAAGCAAAATAACCTTTCGGAGTTATATGTTCCTCGCACCTGGTGTGGTAACCCCAATTTGCAGGCGGGCTCTGAATTTCCTTCTGAAATGGAGGCGTTGTGCTGTTCTTATGTATGGTGTCAGGCATGGGAGGCAAGAGACCGTTATCTAGACTGGTCCCACCACAAAGCCATCTCCAAATTCTTCTTGCAAGGACAAAACGGGGAAATTAAAGGATGTTAGATAAGTGATTCAGCCTTCTGCTTAATGGGGGTGAGGGAAGATTAAACATATTAATTCTCCCCTCTCCTCCAATCTCCCAATCTTCTCCATCTTTCCCTAGAGGTGGTAGACTCAGTTGTTAAGCTTGGGTCTTCTTTCTAAAATCTAATCCCACTTTCTTTAACAAAAAAGGGGAGGATTCTTGGGGATTTGTGGGAAGTTTTAAATAGCAACTCAGCGTTGCAATCTGCTTTTTCTTCATAAGGATTTTTTTATTTCATTTTATAATGTATATAAAACAGAGAGAGCAGTTATAACCACAGATGCAAATTGAAAGATGAGGAGCAAAACTTTGAAACAGGTGTGTTGAATGAGCACAGTTGCACGTGGGTTAAAATAGCAAGTCCAAGTAAATAATATTGGCGTTACCTGATGATCAAGTAGAGATCCGGATTTGCCAGATGTGGTTTGTCTTCCAAATGATGCTTCCACTATATACGTCATGGATAAATGTCAAATAATAAGAGAGTCTGGAGGTTCTAGTCCTTGCCAATATCTCAATTTTTCATGTAATTTTCTCTTCTTCCAAGGTGAGTGGCACCAAGCATCCACTGTTAGATTATGGGCTGTTTTTCACTGAGTTTCAATTACTATTTCATTTCACTTTTAATTTCTGTACTGCCTTTCTATACACAAGTTGGGCATCTGAGTACACACACATTTATTTCTATCTTTCTAAAGGTGTCATATTTTTCTAAAATACAGTATACAAGCTGAGTTTTTGACTCACACTGTGGTTTTTACATTGTATTTTTTTGTTGTGAACTGCCATGAGATCTGCAGATAAATGGTGGTATACCAATTTAATAAATAAAAATAAAATTTGCAAGCTGAAGAAACAACAAAATAGACAACAAAGATCACACACCTAATAACAATCTGATCCAATACAAAAAAAGTCACAATGAAAACATAACTTTAAAATAAACTACATATCAAATAAAGCAATATTCAATAATCCATGGGAATATAATAGTAAACGGTAAAATTAAATAATCATTAAACAGTTTACACTTACCGGTAACAATTACAACAAAGATTTACCAAACTTTAATCAATAAAAATAATAGCAACTCACAATGCATAAAATACCACAAAACATACAAACCATGGAAAAGGATCAGATTGAGAAACAAGGACACACAATTTACAAAATTGTTTTTTAAAATATCCCTGAACTCCTCTCTTCCCAACTGCTTCTGCTGTTCCTAAAGTCATGGTCTGCAAAGTTTTTGCAATGCCTCCATTCTCTTGTCCTTGCAATGAGAAGAGTGATATTTTTGAAAAATTTAAAGCGATTCCATGACCACCGTGAACCGTACTTTCACCCCCACATCTACAATCTTCCGTCGCATCAGTCATGTGTCTGGAACTGCACGAGTTTGGGGTGTCTCATGGCGAATTGCAGACTTTCCCTAAAACTGGCTAAGAATAGGGTTTTTTTAAGAAATGACACAAAGTACAAACAAAGATTGTTTTTAAAATAAACGGCAGGTGCACATTTTCGTAAGGTGGAAAAGCTCGTCAAAAATGGCTTTCCGGAAAGAGAAAGTTCTGAGAGCGGGCCCTTGATAAATCTCAGCACATATTTATTTCATAAAATTTATACACCGTTTGATTGGGAACAAACAAACAAACAAACAAACAAACCTCAAAGTGCTTTACAAAGAGAATGAGAAGAATAAGGTAAAAACTACTCTTTAAAACATTCAAATGATAAAATCAACAAGAAACTAAAAATGTATTAAAAGATACAGCAACATTTGATGTGTCCAGGTCAGCTTTGCCTAACAAACATGTTTTAGCAGGTGCTGGAAAAAAAAAATGTGCTGCGCTGATGTCAAAGGGCAGGGAATTCCGGAGTGTAGATGCTGCCACGATAAAAGATTGATTTCTTGCAAAAGGGGAACGGGTATTATGCGGGCACCTGTAAGCCATCCCAATGCCACGGTTCCAAACTATGGAGAGGGCATGTAAGGGGTTGGACGATCACACAGGTAAACTGGTCCCAAGTTTTTAAGGCCTTTCTTGAACTCAGCCCAGTAGCAAACTGGCAACCAGTGCAGATCTCTGAGTAGAGGCTTTATATATGCTGACAAGGTCACATCAAAAGCCCTGCTTTGAGTTACTGTGGAGAGAGCATGTGGTATTTTAGGCACCTGCCGGAGTAACTCTTGAGCAGGGGTCAGCAAATTTTTTCAGCAGGGGGCCGGTCCACTGTCCCTCAGACCTTGTGGGGGGCCGGACTATATTTTGAAGGGGAAAAAATGAACGAATTCCTATGTCCCACAAATAACCCAGAGATCTATTTGAAATAAAAGCACACATTCTACTCATGTAAAAACATGCTGATTCCCAGACCACCTGCGGGCCGGATTTAGAAGGCGATTGGGCCAGATCCAGCCTCCGGGCCTTAGTTTGCCTACCCATGCTCTTGAGAATCCTGCTTCCTGAGCTCTCTAGAGCTTGATATACCGTAGTTGTGCCCAAGCCTTGAACTTTGTAGCGTGCATGGGCGTAGCCAATATATTTGAGGGGGGGAGCTTTTGTGAGGGGGGGCAGAACCTCAGATTTGTATTGATTTTGATTTAATGGGGGGCAGCAGCACTCCTCAGCTATGCCCATGGTAGCAGATTGGCAGTGAAGTGCGAATCCTGCAAGAAAGGTCTGTACAGTGGTACCTCGGGTCACATATGCTTCAGGTTACAGATGCTTCAGGTTACAGACTCCACTAACCCAGAAATAGTACCTCGGGTTCAGAAATTTGCTTCAGGATGAGAACAGAAATCATGCTCTGGCAGTGCGGCAGCAGCAGGAGGCCCCATTAGCTAAAGTGGTGCTTCAGGTTAAGAACAGTTTCAGGTTAAGAATGGACCTCCGAAACAAATTAAGTTCTTAACCCAAGGTACCACTGTATTTATTTTTCATACCCCGTCCATCTGACTGGTTTGACCCAGCCACTCTGGGCGGCTTTCAGCTTATATAAAAACATCAAACATTAGAAAGCTTCCCTATACAGGGCTGCCTTCAGACGTTTTCTAAAAGTCAGATAGTTCTTTATCTCCTTGATATCTGACGGGAGGGTGTTCCACAGGGCGGGCGCCACCACCGAGAAGGCCCTCTGCCTGGCTCCCTCTAATCTCACTTTTTGCAGTGAGGGAATGGCCAGAAGGCCCTCGGAGCTGGACCTCCGTGTCTGGGACGGATGAGGGGGGTGGAGACAGGGCCAAAGCATTGCAGGGTAACATAGAGCACTGCAGAATTGTAGCCCAAGTCGTATCTAGCTGAGTCTCCTGCTTTCAACAGTGGGCAGTCAAGGTGTCTCTAGGAAGCTGATCATGGGAAATGTGCACAAAATGATGCACAGCGTGGATAAAATTAACAGGGAGAAGTTTTTGTTCCTCTCTTGTACCCCCTTCCCAGGAGAGCCTCTAGTGAAGGTGAATGTTGGAAGTCTCTGGACAGACAAAAGGAAGGCTGCTTTAGGCAGCATAGAGAATTCAGACTCCTCTTTTCCAGGGACAGTCCTGGGTTTACAGAAGCCGTCCCGGTTTCTGATTTGATCCCAGAATGTCCTGCTTTTCCTTAGGACGTCCCTATTTCCATCTGAGAAGTGTTGGAGAGTCTGGAGTTATATGACCCCCGAGCCGAGGAGATAAGTAACTAAACGATACGATAATCTTTATTGCCATTATCCCATACAGAACAACGAAATTGAAAATCTACATCAGACATTCAGAGACCAACAAGCCTCCTATCCCAGCCTGGTTAGGTAAAGGTAAAGGTACCCCTGCCCGTACGGGCCAGTCTTGCCAGACTCTAGGGTTGTGCGCCCATCTCACTCTATAGGCCGGGGGCCAGCGCTGTCCGCAGACACTTCCGGGTCACGTGGCCAGCGTGACATCACTGCTCTGGCGAGCCACAGCCGCACACGGAACGCCGTTTACCTTCCTGCTGGTAAGCGGTCCCTATTTATCTACTTGCACCCGGAGGTCCTTTCGAACTGCTAGGTTGGCAGGCGCTGGGACCGAACGATGGGAGCGCACCCCGCCGCGGGGATTCGAACCGCCGACCTTTCGATCGGCAAGTCCTAGGCACTGAGGCTTTAACCCACAGCGCCACCCGCGTCCCCACCCCCAGCCTGGTTAGCCCCCTAAAAACTCTGATACCCCATAATTAAATGCAATACAATCTGAATGCAGCCCTTTCTGGGGGGGGGGGAGATCTGGTTGGTCACT